TACGTACGCCAGGACCCCGAGCTGGTCGCCCGCAGCTCGCCGATCCGACGCCAGCTGCTCGGCGAGCTGGCCACCGGCAGCGACCCGCTGGGCGACGATCCCCATTCCACCCCGCGTCCGCATATTGGATCCCGGCGAGTGCCAGTTGGGACGACGTCCCGCTGAAAGCGTGGTCCGAACAGCGGATACCGGCATGACCACATAGCCGGAATCGGAACTCGATCCGATCCGCCTCGTCGCTCAGCGCGATCACGCCGCCTACCCGTCTGCAGAGGAACGAGAACACCAAGTCGTCGGCCTCGGGCTTGCTGTAGACCCCGGCCAGTCCGGAAACCTCGACCTCCAGCCCGGTCTCCTCCTTGACCTCTCGTATCACGCCGTCCCGCGGCGCCTCGCCGTGCTCCAGAGCCCCGCCGGGCAGGTTCCAGAGGTCATGGTCGCGGCGGTGACACAGCAGCACCCGGCGATCGTCGTCAGTGATATCGCAATACCCAATGTGTACTGGCTTCATCGACTGGTTCCGTTGCCAACCGACGTAAGGCGCGGTAACTAACTTGCCGGACTGTGATGACTGCGTGCCTAGGACACGCACGCTTCGCGCCGGACTGCGCCGCGCGACCCCGTAACACACCGACTCGCAACTGCGTGGACATCGTCCCGACCGGCCGTCCCTGCCCGATGAGACTGGCGGAAACAGCCTATGCGCAGGAATGGTTGCGCGTAGATTGAAGTTGCGCGCTCAGCCACTATAGTTGCGCGTAGAGACTTTCGCGCAATTTCAGAGGGGACCACATGGCACGGCATGTGCGGGAAGAGCATCTTCTGGCAATCGAAGAGGTCTTGCGAGAACACCCGGAGGGCAGGACCGCATCGCAGATCGACGCCGCCCTGACCACTGCGCCGCCGCGGCGGACCCTGCAATACCGCCTGAAGTCCCTCGTCGACAGCAAGCGGGACTCAGCCTGATCGGCACTAGCCGCTGGGCGCGCTAACCGCCTGCACACCGATCTCGCTGCGGCCATTGGTCGCGGGTGGCGTCAGTGCGCGGCTTGACATCCTGCCGCCGCTGTCGAGGCTTGGTGTCAGAGTATGTGTCCGGCAGCCGCTGGCGGGGCGCCGCCCGGTCGGCTATGACCGAACGTTCCTCGACTCGTACTGGCCCAACGAGACCTTCTATCTCTCGCAGCGGAACGAGAGCACCTCCGGGAGTGGGCCGGCCGGTGGTCGCCGACCAACCCGCCGGCACCTACGCCAGACAGATCCTGAACAGGCTGCTGATTGATCTGTCCTGGAACTCGAGCCGCCTCGAGGGCAACACCTATTCGCTGCTCGATACCACGCGCCTGCTCGAACTTGGCGAAGAAGCGGAAGGAAAGCAACGACTCGAAGCGCAGATGATCCTCAACCACAAGGAAGCGATCGAGTTTTTTCTGGTAGACGAGGCAGGGAGGATCGCTTCGAATCGCGCATACCATCCTCAGTCTCCACGCACTGCTGGCGGACAACCTGCTTGCCGATTCGCGTGCGGCGGGGCGGCTCCGCCATATCGCCGTCGGTATCGACGGCTCGGTCTTTCATCCGCTGGAGACGCCGGCCCTGATCGAAGAATGCTTCGATCAGATTCTTGCCACCGCCGCCGCGATCAGTGATCCGTTCGAGCAGGCCTTCTTTGTGATGGTGCAGACTTCCTATCTGCAGCCGTTCGATGATGTGACAAGCGGGTATCGCGGCTCGCTGCCAACATTCCACTGATCAAGGCAAACCTGGTGCCGCTGTCCTTCGAGGACGTACCGCGGGAACTGTATACCGAAGCGATACTCGGCGTGTACGAGATGAAGCGCATCGAATTGCTGCGCGACGTGTTCATCTGGGCCTATGGGCGATCCGCCGCCCGCTACGCCGCGGTGAGGCAGTCCCTCGGCGAGCCCGATCCGTTTCGGTTGCAGCACCGCTCGGCGCTGCGCGAGGTGGTCGGTGCGGTCATTCGCGAGCGCATGAACAAGAAGCGAGCCACCGCCCACGTCGCCGCGTGGACCCAGGAGCACATCGATCAGCCGCAACGCGAGCGGTTTCAGGAAGTCGCCGAGAGAGAATTGCTGAGTCTGCACGAGGGCAATTTCGCGCGCTACCGGGTCAGGCCGTCCGAGTTCGAGGCGTGGCAGGAAGTCTGGACCAGACCATGAGCCGCGCGCCCAACATTCTGTTCATCATGAGCGACGACCACGCGTCGCATGCCATGAGCTGCTACGGCAGCCGCATCAACCGCACGCCGCACCTCGACCGCATCGCCGCCGGCGGATGCGGTTCGACAACTGCTTCTGCACCAACTCGATCTGCACGCCGAGCCGGCCGCGATCCTGACCGGCACCTACAACCATGTGAACGGCGTCACCACGCTGGCCACCATGATGGACAACCGCCTGCAGACCTTCCCGAAGCTGCTGCAGGCCGCCGGCTACCAGACCGCGCACGTCGGCAAGTGGCACCTGGGCCAGGGACCGGCGCACTGGCCGACCGGCGTCGACTACTGGACCGTGTTCCCCGGCCAGGGGCGCTACTACGACCCCGAGATGGTGGAGATGACCCAACCCAGGGTGATCCCGGCTACGCCACCGACATCGTGACCGACCACTCGCTGCGCTGGCTCCGGCAACGCGACCGGTCGCGCCGTCCTGCTGATGTGCCACCACAAGGCGCCGCACCGGCCGTGGGACCCGCATCCCCGGCACGCGCACCGCTACGCGGACGAGGAGATCCCCTATCCGGAGACCTTCGACGACGACTATGCGCACCGGGCCCGCCGCCGCTGCCGCAGAGATGCGGATCGAGCGCGATTTCGTGCCGGGGACGTGAAGGTCGCGCCCCCCGATCCCGACCATCCCGACCGCCGCCTCGGCGCCGGCGCCGCGCCGCTCACGCCCGTCGGCGGCGCGCCGGTGGATTTTGCAGCGCCCCACGAGCGCAAGCGCTGGCTCTACCAGCGCTATATCAAGGACTACCTGCGCTGCGTGGACGCGATCGACGAGGGCGTAGGCGGCTGCTCGACTACCTCGACGACGACGGGATCGCGGACGACACCATCGTCGTCTACACCTCCGATCAGGCTTCTTTCTCGGCGACCACGGCTGGTACGACAAGCGCTTCATGTACGAGGAGTCGCTGCGCATGCCGTTCATCGTGCGCTACCCGCGCGCCGTGCAGCCGGGCACCGTCAACGGCGACATGATCCTCAACGTCGACTTCGCGAACCTTCCTCGACTACGCCGGGGTGGCGATCCCGGACGACATGCAGGGCGGTCATCGCGTCCGCTGCTGGAGGGCACCACTCCTGCCGACTGGCGCACCGCCATGTACTACCGCTACTGGATGCACGGCTCCGATCACAACGTGTGGCACTACGGGGTGCGCACGCACACCCACAAGCTTCTACTACTACGCCGATCCGCTCGCCATACCCGGCAACACCGGCCGCCGCGAGGAGCCGGCATGGGAGCTGTTCGACCTGCAGTGTGACCCGTGCGAGATGCACTCCGTGTACGGCGACCCGCGCTACGCGGCGCTCACCGCGGAGCTGACCGATCTCCTCCACGAGCTGCAGGCCGCCGTCGGCGACCGGCCCCACGTGCGCGCTTGAGGCGCTAAGCGTTAGCCTGCCACAAGGAGCACGCACCACCGCGAGAGCCGGCCGAGTGAGTGGCATGTCTTGGCTGGGACGGCCCCCATTTTCGGGCCGTGCTCTCGTGCGGTTGGGCGCGACGCGCCGGCGATGGGTGGCGCGGTCAGCGGGATCCGCGGCACTCTGAGGTATGAGCAGCCGGTTCGGCAGCGGCGGCGCGGTCGTGATCGGGTCGCGGCTGGAGCCTTTGGTCGATCGTTTCCTCATCGAGGAGACCCGCGGCGCAGTGCGGCTGGAGCTTGGCACGCCGGTCGAGCGCGAGCTGGTGTTCGTCCATGACCGGCCCTGGGAAGGGAACCGCTCGGGGCTCACCACGATCATCCGCGACGGCGCGGTCTGCCGCATGTACTACTGCGGATCAGGCAACGCGATCTCCGACGGCGGCGATCGGGCAATCCCGCAAGCAACGACACCTGCTACGCGAGAGCTCGCGCGAGCGGCTGGCGTGACACGCGCCCGGACTCGTGCGGGCTGGCTACCTGCGGGCGGGGAGCCGAACAACGCGATCCTGACCGGCCAGCCTCCCCTCACCTTCACGCCAGTTCTGGACACACGCCCCGACTGCGCGCGCCGAGCCCGATCGATGCAGAGGCGCTGGCGCTCAAGTACACCGCCGCGCGGGCGCTGTACGTGCTTCGCCTCCGCGGACGCATCCACATGGTCGCAGATCGGCGAACAGTCCGTGCTGATTGGCACCATGCCGGCTCACTTCGACTGTCCAGACATCGCGTGCGGACGCCACCAGCCGCGAGTCCGGGACCTGCGTGCGCGATTTCACGGCAGGCGGCGACGCGGCCGGGCCCGCGAGGGTTGTCGTTTGCGTCGACGTCCTCACCTGCACCTCGCCGACTTCCTGGCGTGGACGGAGCCGCAGTGGCTGTCGTACTAACCGGGAACGGTTGCGGATATCTTACAACCAACATATCAACCCATACTAATACCGGGTGCGCCGGTCACCTGTTCGTGTCCTGCCATGCGCTACGGTCACCGTCCACGGCCACGTTACTGAGATCAAACGATCGATCTCTTCCGGTCACAGGGCGTTTCGTCACCAGCTACAAGGGGGGACAACATCCGACGACGCTCTTATGACGAGCCGCGACGGGAGCGCCTTCGACCTGTGGGGCGAGGCGTTCATCCGCCCCGGGCCGGTAGCGCAAGGGCCGCTGGCACTACGGCGCCAACGGCACCGCGCTGGGGATTCTGGAGACACCTGCGAGGGCGGGCACCACGAGCTCTCGCTTGTTCTCGACGAGGGCGGCTGGGACCACCACCCGTCACGCTGCGCCGGTACGCGCTGCGGGTCGACGGCTTCGCATCGCTGCGCGCGGGCGCCGCCGGCGGCGAAGTGCTGACCCGGCCGTTGATCTTCGCCGGCGACCGGCTGGTGCTGAACATCTCCACCTCGGCGCTGGGGTGGCTGCGCGTGGAGGTCCGGGATCGGGAGGGCCGCACGCTCGACGGGTTCGCGGAGGATGACTGCCTCGAGGTGTTCGGCGACGACATCGAGCAGGAGGTGCGCTGGCAGGGCGCCCCGGACCTGGGCCGCCTGGCCGGCACGCCGGTCCGGCTGCGCTTCACCATGCGCGACGCCGACCTGTACTCACTGCGGTTTCGCGACGGAGGAGCCGGGTGACAGAGGTCACGCGCATCGAGCCCGGCGGGAGGGCGGTGCTGTTCGCCTTCGACGACCGGAGCATCCCGTGGCGCTATCGCCTCCGGCTGGAGATGCACCGGCCCGAGAAGTACGACGGCAACCCGGTCATCGCGCGCGGCCCGAGTGGCGCGGCCGACGAGCGGCGCACGGAGAACAGCCCGGTCATTCACGACGGCGAGCGCTTCAGGATGTGGTACATCGCCCGCGACGACGGCGCCGGTGAGACCGCGCCCGGCGAGCGCGAGCGCTACAACGCGTCACGCGGCGGCCGGGGCGGCATCGGCGAGATCGGCACGACCGGCGACATCGTCCACTCCTACGATACCGGCCGCATCTGCTGTGCGGAAAGCGACGACGGGTACCACTGGCACAAGCCCGACTTGGGGATCGTCGAATACCGCGGCAGCACCCACAACAATATCTGCGACCTCGAGCCCGGCACCGGGTCGATGGACGTCCTGTTCCAGCCCGACGCCCCGCCTGCGCGGCGCTACCTGATGGTGATCGAGTTCACCGCCTGGCGGCACCTGAAGAAGCCGCCGCCGCTGGAGATGGCGTCGATCACCCGCTTCGCCGCCAGCCCGGACGGCTACCGCTGGACCATGCTGCAGGAGGAGCCGGGCGTCGTGGGCCAGCATCACGAGGTGTTCTGCCTGTACCGGTACCGGGACCGCTACCACATCGCCGGTCACCAGGCATCACCCCTGCTGTACCTGCCCCTGCAGCGTCACCGCGCCCTTCCGTACTGCGGCCCACGCACCATGGTCGTATGGCGATCGCCGGACGTGGACCGCTGGCCGCTCGAGACCTGCCACGCCTTCTTCAAGCCGATGCAGTCCTCCTCGCCCTACCGAACCGGCTGGGACCGCGAGGAGGTGCACATGGGCGCATACGTAACGCCCTACCCCAACGTCTGCCTGGGCGTCTGCGGGCAATGGCACCACCCGATCACCGACGCGCCGCCCGAGCGGCCGGACTACCGGGGCGAGGAGGTCGCCGTCGACCTGGGATTCATCCTCAGCAACGACGGCGTGCACTTCCGCGAGCCGGCTCCCGGCTTCACCTTCATCGGCCGCGACCAGGAGCTGTCGTGGGACCGCGACTGGCGCGACAACACGACCCATGACCGGATGCTGGAGCAGGGGCCGGTGCTCATGGAGCAAGGGCCGCTGCTCAACATCGGCGACCGGACGGTCCTCTACTACACGGCCTGCACGCCGCACGGCAACCTGATGGGATCGATGAGCAACATCGGCATGGCCACGCTGCCGCGCGAGCGGTTCGGCAGCCTGACCCCGGTGGACGGCGCCGCCTACGGCCAGGCGGTCACCGACACGATTCAGGCAGGGTCGGCAGCGCAGCTCTGCGCGAACGTGGAACTGCCGCCGGGCGGCCGGCTGGAAGCCGCGCTCACCGATCCGGACGGGCTGGCCGAGCTGCCCGGCTACGAGCTCGACGCCAGCCGGGCGCTGACCGAATCCGGCCTGGCGCAACGCCTCACTTGGCGTGACCGGCCGGCGCTGCCCGCCGGCGCCTTCCGCATCCGCATACGCCTCACCGCAGGGTCCCGGCTCTACGCCCTCTACGTGGAGGGATAGCCGGCCCGTTCCACCGCTCGGCGACCCACACCTTGATGATCGATTGACGCGGCACGCCGAGTCGCCGAGCTTCCTTGTCCAACGACGCGGTGCCGCTGGCACTACGGCGCCAACGGCACCGCGCTGGGGATGCTTCAGACGCCGGGCGAGGGCGACACCACCGAGCTCTCGCTGTTCGTCGATGAGGGCGGCTGGGACCACCCGTCACGGCTGCGCCGGTACGCGCTGCGGGTCGACGGCTTCGCATCGCTGCGCGCGGGCGCGGCCGGCGGCGACGTGCTGACCCGGCCGCTGATCTTCGAGGGCGACCGGCTGGTGATGAACGTCTCCACCTCGGCGCTGGGATGGTTGCGCGTGGAGGTCCGGGACCGGGAAGGCCGCGCGATCGACGGGCTCGCGCAGGATGACTGCGTCGAGGTGTTCGGCGACGACATCGAGCAGGAAGTGCGCTGGCAGGGCGCCCCGGACCTGGGCCGCCTGGCCGACACGCCGGTCCGGCTGCACATCACCATGCGCGACGCCGACCTGTATTCGCTTGGGTTTCGGGCTCTCGATTGACAAAGGACCCACAATAGCTATTTGGTCCGTACGATGACGGAGATCGCTGCCAGGGAAGCCAAGAATCGCTTCGGTCGCCTGCTGGATGCCGCGCAATCCGCACCGGTCAGGGTCACGAAGAAAGGCAGGGCCGTCGGCATCGTGATGTCGATCGAGCACTATGAACGCTTGCGCGGCGTCGCGTGGGCGCAGCTCAGCGCAACCATGGACCGACTGGCGGCGGCGGCGACGGCGCACGGCTTGACCGACGCCAAGCTGGACGCGCTCCTGGTCGATGAGAGCTGATCGGGCCGTAGTAGACACGAACGTATCGATCAGTGCCGCGCTGCGGACGCACGGCGCGCCCGGGGCCGTCGTGGAGGCGATACGCACGGCGAGTGGTGCTCCGGTAGCGCGATGCGGTCCCGTGCGCCATCCTGAAGCGTGAGCGCCGCATCCGGCACGACCGAACCGCTTCGCATCGGTTCTCGGCTGGAGCCCATGCTGGACCGTTGTCTGATCGAGGAGACCCGCGGTGCGGTCGACCTCCGACTCGGCCGGCCGGTCGAGCGCGAGGTGGTGTTCGTCCACGACCGCCCCTGGGAAGGCAACCGATCCGGCTCGTCCACGATCTTCCGCGACGGCCCGATCGTCCGCATGTACTACCGCGGATCCCGCCTGGACCGGCACGCCGGCGGCTACTCGATTCCCCACAACTACACCTGCTATGCGGAGAGTGACGACGGCTTGGCCTGGACCCGCCTCGATCTGGGCATGCATGCGCTGGAAGAGGCGGAAGCCAACAACATCATCCTGTCAGGCCAGCCGGCCCTCACCTTCACGCCGTTCCTGGACACCAACCCCGACTGCGCCGCCGACCAGCGCTACAAGGCGCTGGCGCTCAGGTACGACCCGCCGCCGCGCGCGCTGTACGGCTTCGCCTCGGCCGACGGCATCCGCTGGTCGCAAATCGGCGACCGGCCGCTGATCACCACCGGCTACTTCGACTCCCAGAACCTCGCCTTCTGGGACGCCACCCGCGGCGAGTACCGGGCCTACGTGCGCGACTTCCACGGCAGCCGCGACGCGGCCGCCCGCGAGGTCGCCCTGCGCGACGTCCGGACCTGCACCTCCCCCGACTTCCTCGCCTGGACCGAGCCGGAGTGGCTGGCATACGAGCCGGAGCGGTTCGCGGAGATCTACACCAACCAGATCAACCCCTACTACCGCGCACCGCACCTGTTCGTCGGCCTGCCGATGCGCTACGTCACCGGCCACGGCTACGTGACCGAGCTCAACGAGCGCATCTCCCGGTCGGAGGAGCGGTTCGGCACCAGCTATACCGACACGGCGCTGATGACGAGCCGTGACGGCCGCACCTTCGACCTCTGGGGCGAGGCGTTCATCCGCCCCGGTCCGGTGCAGAAGGGACGCTGGCACTACGGAGCCAACAGCGCGGCCCTGGGCATCCTGGAGACGGTTGATGAGGCCGGCGCCCCGGAGCTGTCGCTCTACGTCAAGGAGGGCGGCTGGGACGTCCCGTCGCAGCTCCGTCGCTACACCCTGCGGGTCGACGGCTTCGCATCGATGCGCGCGGGAGCGGCCGGCGGCGAGGTGCTGACCAGGCCGTTGATCTTCGCCGGCGACCGGCTGGCGCTGAACGTCTCCACCTCGGCGCTGGGATGGCTGCGCGTGGAGATCCGGGACCGCGAAGGCCGCGCGATCGAAGGATTCGCGTCGGATGACTGCGTCGAGGTGTTCGGCGACGACATCGAGCATGGAGTGCGCTGGCAGGGCGCCGCGGACCTCGGCCGGTTGGCCGGCACGCCCGTGCGACTGCGCATCACCATGCGCGACGCTGACCTGTACTCGCTGCGCTTCTGTGACGGAGGAACGAGATGACCCGGATCGAGCCCGGAGGGAGGGCGGTGCTGTTCGCGTTCGACGACCAGAGCATCCCGTGGCGCTATCGCCTCCGGCTGGAGATGCACCGGCCCGAGAAATACGACGGCAACCCGGTCATTCCGCGCGGCCCGGCAGGTGCGGCCGACGAGCGGCGCGCGCAGAACAGCCCCGTCGTGCACGACGGCGAGCGGTTCCGGATGTGGTACATCGCCCGCGACGACGGCGCCGGTGAAACCGCGCCCGGCGAGCGCGAGCGCTACGAACCATCACGCGGAGGCAGGGGCGGCATCTCCGAGATCGGCACGACCGGCGACATCGTCCACTCCTACGACACCGGCCGCATCTGCTGTGCCGAGAGTGACGACGGCTACCACTGGCGCAAGCCCGACCTGGGGATCGTGGAGTACCGCGGCAGCACCCACAACAACATCTGCGATCTCGAGCCAGGCACCGGGTCGATGGACGTGCTGTTCCAGCCCGACGCGCCGCCGGAGCGGCGCTACCTGATGGTCATCGAGTTCACCGCGTGGCGGCACCTCAAGAAGCCGCCGCCGCTGGAGATGCCCCTCGATCACCCGCTTCGCCGCCAGCCCGGACGGCTACCGGTGGACGATGCTGCAGGAGGAGCCGGGCGTCGTCGGCCAACACCACGAGGTGTTCTGCCTGTACCGGTACCGGGATCGCTACCACATCGCCGGTCACCAGGCATCACCACTGCTGTACCTGCCCTTGCAGCGTCACCGCGCCCTGCCGTACTGCGGCCCGCGCACCATGGTGGTCTGGCGGTCGCCGGACGTGGATCGCTGGCCGCTGGAGACCTGCCACGCCTTCTTCAAGCCGATGCAGTCCTCCTCCCGTACCGCACCGGCTGGGACCGCGAGGAGGTGCACATGGGCGCCTACGTGACGCCCTACCCCAACGTCTGCCTGGGCGTCTGCGGGCAGTGGCACCACCCGATCACCGATGCGCCGCCCGAGAGGCCGGACTATCAAGGCGAGGAGGTGGCCGTCGACCTGGGCTTCATCCTCAGCAACGACGGCGTGCACTTCCGCGAGCCGGCTCCGGGGTTCACCTTCATCGGCCGCGATCAGGAGCTGTCATGGGACCGCGACTGGAGGGACAACACGACCCGTGACCGGATGCTGCTGGAGCAAGGGCCGCTGCTCAACATCGGCGACCGGACCGTCCTCTACTACACGGCCTGCACCCCGCACGGCAACCTGATGGGATCGATGAGCAACATCGGCATGGCCACGCTGCCGCGCGAGCGGTTCGGCAGCCTGACCCCGGTGGACGGCGCGGACTACGGCCAGGCGGTCACCGACACGACTCAAGCAGGATCGGCGGCGCAGCTCTGCGCGAATGTGGAGATTCCGCCGGGCGGCCGGCTGGAAGCCGCGCTCACCGACGCCGACGGGTTGGCCGAGCTGCCCGGCTACGCGCTCGAAGCCAGCCGGGCGCTGACCGAATCAGGACTCGAGCAGCGCCTCACCTGGCGCGGCCGGCCGGCGCTGCCCGCCGGCGCCTTTCGCATCCGGGTACGCCTCACCGGGGGGTCCCGGCTCTACGCCCTCTACGTGGAGGGATAGCCGCCGGTCACCCTTCGGGTGGGTTCGCTGCGCTCACCAGCTCGACACGATGCGGTCGCGGTTGGGGATCGGGGGGCGCACGGCCGTGCCGCCGCGCAGGTGCGACTCGTAGAGGCCGAAGCCGATCTCGGTGGAGAGCATGGCGATCCGCAGGTTGCTCACGGCCGGCTGGCCGGTGCGGATCGCCTGCACCAGGTCGCGGATCTTGCGCACCGTGCCGCTCCAGTGCTCGACCGGCTCTACCGGGACCGGGTCGAAGCCGGCCCGCGTCTCCTTCCTGCGCACCGCCAGTTCCTCGCCGTCGTTGTGGACGCGGATGAGTCCTCCTTCGCAGACCAGCTCGAACTCCAGGTTGCCGGTGCCGACCACGGCGATGTCCGGGCCGTCGGCGAACTCGATCAGCGCGCTGCGGATCGACGGGTCCTTGACGAAGTTCATGTGCGAGGTGTCTCCCGGCGCCGGGCTGAGCGTGTCCAGCGTGCCGCGGATCGAGGTGACCTCCTCCGGGTCGCCGGCCAGGTACAGCACCGTGTCCAGCCCGTGGCCGCCGACGCTGTTGCCCCAGAAGCCGACCACACGCTGCACGCGCCCCAGCTCGCCGCTCGCCGCGATGGCCCGCGCCTGCTGGTAGACCGTCCAGTTGCGCCGCGGCGGACCGAACTCCAGCATCACCCCGGCGCGCTCGAACGCTTCCCGGATGGCGTCCGCCTCCCGCAGGGTGCAGCACAGCGGCTTTCTCCGCGAACATGCCCTTCACGCCGTGCTCGGCGCCGTAGATCATCGCCTCCGCGTGCTGCTCGGGCCGCGTGCAGATGCTCAGGATGTCCGGCTGCTCCGCGTCGATCAGCTCACGGAAGTCCCGGTACCCGCGCGGCACGTTCCAGCGCCGCCGAAACTCCGCGAGCTTCGCGTGTCGACATCACAGGCCGCGACCAACTCGGTCACGTCGGTGGTCTCCGCGTAGCCGCCGGCGTGGGCGAGCGGCGGCACCACCCCGCCGCGCCACTGCGGCGTCCGTTCGTCGTCGATGCTGCTGGCGATCCGCCCGCAGCCGATCATGCCTACCTTCAGTCTCATACGTCTGCCTCCTCGCTTTCGCTTTGGTCTTCCGCGCGCAGCCTGCGGCACACCGCCGCCGCCGCCTCCTCTGGTGACAACTCCGGCGGCAGGACCAGATCGGCCTGCACGCCGTGCCGGTCGTCGCCCGCGCGCACGATCAGCATGTCGTTGGGTTGATTGAGAATGCGCAGCGTCTCCGCTTCGTACCCGTCGAGATCGGCGACCGTGGTGATCACGATCTGGCCCGAATCGGTCAGGAAGTGGGCAATCTCACCAAGATTGCGGATGTTCTCGTCGCGCGTCTCACCGCTGGATGACTGGTGCTCCCGCTCGATGTCGGCGTCCAGCCCGCCGGCGAGATTGGAGAGCCCGAAGTAGTAGACGTTGTTGCCGCCGTGAAACAGCTCGCGCTCCACGTCCCGCGCAACCCGGACCAGCAGCGGATGCACCGAGCCGGTGAGCACCACCAGCCGCGGCCGCTGGCCGTAGCGGTCGGCCCGTTCGCCGCCGCTGATGGCGCCGTCCACCCAGGCGTAGTCGCGGCGCCGGACGTGCTCGCGCAGCGACTCGCTCAGGTCCGACAGGTACTCGGTGATGATGCCGCCGCCGGCGATCTCGTACTGGTCGACCAGCACGAAGCGGCCGGTGGCGACCAGATCGGCGTCGATGCCCAGGTCGAAGGCGATCGGCTTGTGGGTCTCCAGCACGCACTCGGCCACCTCATGGCGGCCGACGTGCTGCTTCGCGTTGCTGCGCTCCAGGGTGTCGGCGTCGAGGACCTGCACGATCTCCTTTACATGCACGGTCACCCGCGTGCTGGCCAGCTTCAGCAGGTAGCGCCGGCCGCGGACCAGCGGGTTGCGGTCGAGCCAGAACAGGTTGGCGCGGAACGTGGTGCCCACCCGGGGCATCGCCTCGCCCACCCGGTACATCATCTCCCCCGGCCGCACGTACAGCTCCTCGGTCAGGGTGACGCCGGTGGCGTCGCCGGCCGCCGCCTCGCGCGTCGGCGGAATCTCGAAGCCTTCGATGCTGCGCACCCGCGACCGCTTGCCCGAAGGCAGAAACTCCACCGTGTCGCCGACGGCCACTCTTCCGGTGGTGATGGTCCCGGCGATGATGCGCGCGTCGTCCCCCCGCACCGGGAACTTGTAGACATCCTGCACCGGCAGCCGCAGCGCGTGCTCGGTCTCCGGGCCGGCCGAGTCCAGGGCGTCGATCCGCTCCAGCAACGGCGGCCCCGTGTACCAGGGGGTGCGGGGCGAGAGCGCCACCAGTTGTCGCCATGGCGCCCGCTCACCGGGACGAACCCGAGCGGCGTGGCCTGGATCTCTGCGAGAAACTCCGCGTACTCCTCGTGAATGGCCGTGAACACCGACTGGTCGTAGCCGACCAGATCCATCTTGTTCACCACCACCAGGATCTGCCGGATGCCCAGCATCGCGGTCATGAAGCCGTGACGGCGGGAGTTCTCGCGCACCCCTTCGCGGGCGTCGATCACCAGGATCGCCGCCTCGGCGCGGGCGGCGCCGGAGATCATGTTCTTCAGGAAACTCCACGTGCCCGGGCGCGTCGATGATGATGTAGCGGCGCCGCGCGGATCGGAAGAACACGCGGGCGGCGTCGATGGTGATGCCCTGCGCCTGTTCGTCACGGAGCGCGTCGATCAGGAACGCGTACTCGAACGGCTTGCCCGAGCGCTCGCAGTTGCGCCGCACCTGCTCGATCCTGCCGTCCGGGAGCGAGCCGGTGTCATGCAGCAGGCGTCCCACCACCGTGCTCTTGCCGTGGTCGACGTGGCCGACGATGACGATGTTCATCGCCGCCAGATCCGCGGGCGGGGGCGCTGCGGTCTCCGCGGTGAGGGTGCTCACCGGTTCGGGAGCGGGACCGGCCATTACATGTACCCCTCGCGGCGCAGGGTCTCGAGCGTGCCGTCGCCCTCCTTGTCCTGCTCGCGGCCGGCCCGTTCGGCCACGTGCGAGAACTTGCCGGTGCGCAGCTCTTCCACGATGTCGTTCACGGTCGAGGCGGTGGACTCGACCGGCGTGGTGCAGGGGTAGCAGCCCAGCGACCGGTAGCGGGTGCCGTCGCCCTGGTCGAAGTAGAGCGGCACCACCGGGATCCGCTCCGCGGCGATGTACTCCCAGATGTTGAGCTCGGTCCAGTCCAGCAGCGGATGGATGCGTACGTGGGTGCCGGGCGCGAAGTCGGTCTTGAACTGGTTCCACAGCTCCGGCGGCTGATCGCCGATGTCCCAGTCGCTGTGGTGGTCGCGCGGCGAGAAGTAGCGCTCCTTGGAGCGGCTGCCCTCCTCGTCCGCGCGCGCCCCGACGATCACCCCGGTGTACGGCTCGGTGTTGGCGTCCTCGACGTAGCGGTCCTGCTCGTGATCGAACCGGTAGCGTGGCCAGGCGCCGGACAGCGTGTTGACCAGCGCGTCGGTCTTCAGCGCCTTGCAGCAGGCGATGCGCGACAGCGCGCCCGCCGGAAAGGTCCGCCTGGCATCCAGGGCGGCGCGATTCTCGCCATAGATCAGGTTGAGCTTCCAGTCGCGCACCAGCCGGTCGCGGTAGGCGATCATCTCCGGGATCTTGAACGAGGTGTCGATGTGCACCAGCGGGAACGGCACCTCGCCGAAGAACGCCTTGCGGGTCAGCCACAGCAGGACGGTCGAGTCCTTGCCGATCGACCAGAGCATGCACAGCCGCGAGAACTCCCGGTACGCCTCGCGCAGGATGTAGACGCTCTGCGCCTCCAGGCGCGCAAGCGCGGTCACGAGGCGGCCCTCATACGACATTTGCGGACACGTGCAGCCCGCACTCCTTGGCCGTGTCCTGCTCCCACCACCAGCGCCCGGCGCGCGGGTCCTCGCCCGGCGCGATGGCGCGCGTGCAGGGAGCGCAGCCGATGCTCACGAAGCCGCGGTCGTGCAGCACGTTGTAGGGCACGCGGTGGGCGCGCAGGTAGTCCCACACTTGGTCGTCCGGCCAGTCAGCCAGCGGATTGGCCTTGATCGCGCCGTGCCCGTCATCCCATTCCACAAACGGGGTGCCGGAGCGGTCCGGGCTCTGCGCACGGCGCAGCCCGGTGATCCACGCCGCGGCCCCGCCGAGCGCGCGGCGCAGCGGCTCCACCTTGCGGACCCCGCAGCAGCGGTGCCGGTCCTCCACGCTGGCATAGAACAGGTTGGGACCGGCGTCGCGCACCATCTCCTGGACCGCGCCGGCTGAGGGAAACAGCACCTCGTAGTGCATCCGGTAGCGGCTCATCATGCGCGCCATCAGATCGTAGGTCTCCTGGTGCAGGCGTCCGGTGTCCAGCACGAAGATGGATGCCCGCGGGTCGATGCCGAGCAGCATGTGGCTCAGCACCTGGTCCTCGGCACCCAGCGAGGACGCCAGCTTCACCGCGCGGCCGTGGCGCTCGACCAGGGCGCCGAGCAGCGCCTCGGCGCCGTCGGCGGCGACCGCGTTCAACCGCTCGATCTCGGCCCTGTCCGCGTTCGTTGGGTCCGCGTTCGTTGGGTCCGCCTTCATCCGTCGTATCTCTATCTCTTTATCGGTTCCAATCGATCGTCACGCCCAGCACGTCCGCATCGTGCTGCAGCAGCCGGTAGGCTGTCGCGGCATCCTCGGGCGCGAAGCGGTGCGTGACGAGCCCGTCCACCTCGATCACTCCCTGCTCGATCAGGGAGAGGGTCCGTTCCATCCGCTGCCGCTCCTGCCCGTTCGGGAAGTGGGTGGTGGTCTCCCGCGCCCGCAACCAGTGGATGTCCACCTGACAGGCCCCGGCGGATAGTAGCCCAGCACGACCAGGTGGCCGTCGCGCACCAGCAGCGCGGCCGCATCGCGGATGAGGTCGGTCCTGCCGGTGGTCTCCGCCGCGATCCGCAGGCCCGACGGGACGCGGCTGCGGACCCACTCGGACAGGTCCGCGGCGTGGGTGTCGACCACCTCGTCCGCGCTGTGCGCGGCAGCGATCTCCAGCCGGCGGCGGCGGTGCCCGGCCATGAGCACCCGCGCCGCCGGTGGCGCAGCACCTGCGCCGCCCACTGCCCGACCAGCCGTCGCCGATGACCAGCGCCGCATCGCCGGCGGCGACCGGCGGCCGCGCGCCGCCGTTGTAGCCCACCTGCGCCAGCAGCAGGGCCGAGGCGCTGCGCGTGCCGACCGCGGCCGGCAGGGAATCACGTCGGCCGCCGCAGCGACGTGCCACGCGCAGTGGCCGGCCCACCAGCCACCGCCCAGCCCGGCGGCTGCCTGCAGCGCGCGCTGAACACCTGGTCCCCGACGGCGATCCCGGTCACCGCAGCGCCGGCGGCGCGCACGCAGCCGGCCGCCTGGTAGCCGGGCGTGAACGGGAAGCGGATCGGGCCGCGCCCAGGCGGATGGTCCCGTGCAGGCAGTGCAGCTCGGTGCCGGCGCTGATCGTCGTGTGCTCGACCTCGACCAGCACGTCGGCCGGCCCCAGCGACGGCAGCGGCACCTCACGCAGCTCCACCTCGCCGCGCGCGGGAAAGACGATCGCGGCGGTCGATGCGGGATGCGCGCTCATCAGCGTGACTGTATAAGGAAAAACACGCTGGCGCGCCATCACGTCCAGTGCGCTCGGCGTATAGCGGGTATTGCCCATCTACTACCCCCAACCCATGCAACGACTTCCGGGTAGCACGCGAGCTCGGCCCGTAAGCGCATGGCACGCGGCCGACCGACCGGTTACGCGACCGCGTCGCAGTACGCCAGCTCCCAGCCGTGGAACACCACCGCCAGCCCCTTGAACCGCACCCCCGGAAACTGCCGTGCCAGACGTTCGTCCGCCAAGTAGCGCCGCAACTGCACCGTAGCTTCGCTGACTGCCGCCGCCACGCCGGACTCGTCCGCCGGCTCGCTCGCTGAAAGCGCTCAGAGCGCTTCAGGTACTTCAGCTCAATCAGATAGCCGCGCTCGCAGGTGCGGATACCGGGCCATCAGCGGCTCCAGGCTGATGTCGGCGTGCCCCTTGCCCAGCTCCGCCTCCGACCGGAACACGAAGTAGTCGGTCACGCTCAGATACGCCGCCAGGAAGCCCTGCACGACCTTCTCCCCTGCAATGTAGTCGCGGATTCCCGTCTGCCGGGCGATCGCCTCGCTGAGGAACTCGAACGCCGGCCGCCACTCGCCTTCGTTGGCCATCCGCATCAGCAGTTGCTCGAACCGGAACAGGTTGACCGTAAACACCTCCACGTCCCGGTAGCCGTCGCGCAGATAGCCGTACAGCAACCGCTTCACGGTCTGGTTGGGAATCGCCAGCCGCGGCACGCCGCGCACCACTTCGCGGATGCTCAGCAGCCCGAAGTGGTGGAGCAGGGAGAGGAAATTCTCGGGCTCGGCGAGGCGCTCCAGAGGAAAGCCGGACTGAATGCGGGAGTCAACCTGCTCCTCGCCGATGATGTCGCGCAGCAGGTCGAAGTTGCCGTTCAACTGCCGGTTGACCACCAGCAAGTGGCGCAGCTTGCCGTAGTCAATGCGCACGTTGGTGTCGATGAGGTCGTCCGGCACGGTTCTATTGGGAATGGAATGGTCCAGGTAGTAGAGCACCATGTCGGTGTTGTAGAGATCGACATCGGCTCCCTTGGCGAACCGATAGCCGTTATACCACTCGCCCAGGATGCCCATCGCAGTATCGACGTCCTGGTTGAACACGCCGAGGTCCCGGTACGTTTCGAGCAGGTGCCGCACCTCCGCTTCGGTGAAGCCGAGCATCTCGTTGAAGTCCGGTTGCAGGCTGAGGTTCTTGCCGATGTTGAAACCGCTGGTCACGTCGTCCATGGTGACCGGCGACACGCCGGTGATGAACATTCGATCGATGCCGCCGCCACTGCGCCCCGTACCGGACTTCAAGGCGGCGAAGAAGTTGCGGTAGAAGCCGCCGCCGTGGGTGAAGGAATGGTACGCCTGCGCGCCGTCGTGCGCGAGCACGGTGTTGGCGAAGTTGTCGTACTCATCGATCAGCACGTACAGCGGGATGCCGTGGCGTTTGGTATGCAGAAACAGTTCGGTGAGCTTGGCGGGCGCCGAGACAGGGGCGAGGATGCGTTGCACGGCCGCGGCGGGGAACAGATCGGGATACCGCTCCAGCGTGTCCCGGATTTCCGCGGTACAGTAGGTTTCGAACTCTCGCTCCAAGGTGTCGAGCGCGTCGTTGACCGTCGAGAAGTCGAAGCGCAGTACCACATAGCGGTGGCGCGCCGCGGTCGGGTTGCGGCCGATGTCGGTCCCGCCGAATACGGCCTCGAACTCGTGGCCCCAGTAACGGTCGTAGTAGTTCTCCAGCAGCGACACCCACAGCGACTTGCCGAAGCGTCGCGGGCGGATCAGAAAAGCGTAGCGCTCCTGCTCCAGGCGCCGCAGGAAGCGGGTCTTGTCGACGTACAGCCACCCGTTCAGACGGATGCGCCTGAAGTCAGCCTCGCCGTAGGGAATGCGCGGGTGAGCCGGAACCTCGTCCATCTACCGGAAGACCATTTACGTCCGTGACTCTATCGGTCCCGGGGCGGGCGCACAACAGCGTGGGCCGGGCCGGTTCTGCTGCGTGCCCGTCAGACTCCATCGAACGTCAGGGACCGTACAGGGAGACGTGGCTGGTGCTGGACGAGGTAAACCGGGAGCCGGCCCAGTCGCTCCAGCGCTCGCGCAGGCGGAGGCCGGCCAGGCGCGCCATCAGGTCCAGCTCCGAGGGCCAGGCGTAGCGGAGCTGCGCCGGGAACAGCCGGGTTCCCGATGCGTCGATCACGAGATGCTGGCAAGTCACCCGCTGGCCGGCGGCGTCGTGCCGGGACAGGTCGAGCTGCACCGCGTCGGACTCCAGGTGCGAGATGCCTACGTTCTGGCCGTTCGCGAAACGCGTCGGATCGGGCACGAACGCCTCGATCAGAAAGACTCCGCCTGCGCCGAGGTGCTCGGCGACGCGCGCGAAGCACTGCACCTGCTGCTCCTGGGTGGGGAGCATGAGACAGGTACGGTGAACACTCACGAAGACAGCTCGAACCGTGCCTTCGCACGCGGAAGTCGCCGGCGAAATCGAGCAGAGGCACACGGGATGGCGCTCGCACGGCTTGGCGCGCAGCCGTCGCAGAAACTACGCCTCGAGCGCTCGATGCGTGCACCTCGACGCCGCGCGCGGCCAGGGGCAGCGCCACCCGTCCGGTGCCGATGCCCAGCTCCAGTGTGCGGCCGCCGCCCGCAAGCCGGGCCAGCGTCTCCACGGGGGCGGCACCGGTCACCATCCGGTCGTAGATCTCCGCGATGCGGTCGCCGTAGGTCGCCGCGGTGTAGTCCTTCATCACGCGTGTCAGGTTGCGCCGATCCAATGTGCCCACGCCACGCCACGTCCGGCGAGCGCGTTCCTGAGGCGCTCGTCAGCGGTCCAAGAGAGCCTCCTGCAACTGAGACTGAGTGATGAGCTTACGCCACAGCGCCCGGCGCAGGCCGCTGGTCACTTCATAGTTCCGCAACGTGCCGGCGCCGCCACGATCGCCCGTTCGCCACGCCATGCATCGATGCGGCGATCCGCATGAGAGCTGTATGGGAGTGGCAGGGCCAGGGCGAGGGTCACGTTCGCGTCCACCACGACCGTCATCGTCACGGGCCTTCCTGCTCCCGTTCGTCCCGTGCTTCGCCGATCAGGTCGGCGGTGAGCACGCCGCTGGTAGCCTGGATGGCCTCTCTGAGAGTCCGCAGATGGACCAGAGCGGGCTCCCGGGCCGCCCAGGCTGCGCTCCGATGTGTGACCAGCGCTTCGTCGATAAGCGTGCGGGCGACCTGGGAGATGCTCTTTCCCTCTTCCCTGGAGATCAGCACCAGCCTGCTGTGCTGTTCAGGACGAAGTAGAATCTGGGTCCGATACAGCCGTTCACCCATGGACGTGAATGGTTTACACCTACACATGTATGTGTCAAAGGAAGGCACAGGAGATGGAGCAGCCCGTGAACCGCGTCGACTGCCTGGACTACGGGCACTCCTATCTGTGGCCGTACGATCGGCCGCGCGACTCGGTGCGCGTCCTCATCGAGAGTCGCACGCTGCTCGCAGGCGGCCCCCACGGGACCGGCACCCCCTACTACCTGGGAGCCTCCTGCAAGGGCGAGGACACCTACGGCGTCCGCAAGCAGTACGGCCCGATGGGCTTCCACGCCGGGGCGCGCACCCTGTTCCTGGACCCCAACTACGACTTCACCTGGATCCTCGGCAGCGGCAGCGCCGTGATCTTCCGCCGCGCGCTGCCTGATACGTCGAGCCCGGCCGGGGCGCCGGCCGCTACCGGGAGGTGCGTGCGGACACCAGCCGGACGTGGGGTCCGCCGCGCCTGCAGCTCACCCCCGCCGCCGGCGCGTACGAGATCCCGGTCGGCGACTTCGATGCCGTCGCCGCCGCCACGGATGCCGGCCACGGCATCGTCGCGCGGACGGAGATCGCCGACGCCGGCACCGGCATGCGCGCCGTGATCGAGTACCCGGTGAAGACCATGAACGTCAGCCGCGCGGGATTCCCCACCGACGGCGACGGCAGCGTGTGGCAGACCGACACCGGTCCGGTCGGGGTGCCCGACCTGTCGCGCCGCTACGACCCGCCGGTAGCGGCGTTCTCGCTCGGCTTCGTCGCGGTCGTGAGCCGGCAGCCGGACGCCGCCGACTTCGTCCTGGAGCGGCCCACGCCGCTTCCTCCGCCACGAGATGGCGTGACCGTGCACCATTTCTCCGCCCCGTTCTCGCGCCCGGCGACCAACCGGCTGTTCGGGATACCGCCGCAGGGCCCGGCCGGTTGACCAGCGGGCGCTGGCGTAGTAGCACATCCGGACGGTAGGGGTACCATGAGCGAGCGGAGCCAGGTTGCGAGCTCGGCGCCAGCGACTCCCGTGACCGCCCCTGCGCGCGCCGTCGCCGGACCCAAGCGGGATCTGTGGGCGCGTGTGCGCCGCCACTGGATGCTGTACGTGATGATCGCGCCGGCGATCCTGGGCTTCCTGCTGTTCAAGTACATCCCGGCCATCGGCGCGTTGACCATCCCGTTCACCCGCTACAGCATCGTCGACGGCTTCTTCGGGTCGGAGTGGGTCGGGCTGAAGTGGTTCATCTCCTTCCTTTCCGGCGGGTTCTTCCCGCGCCTGCTCAGGAACACCTTCCTGCTCGGCTTCCTGGGGATGGTGATCGGCTTCCCCATGCCGATCCTGCTGGCGCTGTCGCTCAACGAGATCAGGAGCCAGCCGTTCAAGCGGTTCGCCCAGACCATCACCTATCTCCCCCACTTCATCTCGGTGGTGGTGGTGGTCGGCCTGATGTACTCCTGGTTCGCCTACGACGGGTACGTCAACAACTTCCTCGGCGTCTTCAACCTCGATCCCATCGACTTCCAGGGCGATCCGCGCTGGTTCCGGCCGCTGTACATCGGTTCCGGCATCTGGCAGGGGATCGGCTGGGGGTCGATCCTCTACCTGGCCGCCCTCGGCGGCGTCAACCCGGAGCTGTACGAGTCCGCCTACCTGGACGGCGCCAACCGCGTGCGCCGCGCCTGGCACGTGACGCTGCCGGGCATCGCCCCGACGATCACCATTCTGCTGATCCTGGGCATGCAGAACATCATCGAGGTCGGCTTCGAGAAAGCATTCCTGATGCAGAACCCCGCGAACATGAGCACCTCCGACGTGTTCGCGATCTACATCTACCGGCGCGGCATCATCGGCCTGGACTTCTCGTTCGCGTCCGCCGTCGGCCTGCTCAACTCGGTCGTCGGGCTGCTGCTGGTGCTGAGCGCCAACTACCTGAGCAGGCTGTTCAACGAGCACAGCCTGTGGTGAAGGCGGCGGTCATCAAGGCGCAGTCACGAAGGTGGCAGGCCGGTGATCAGGTACCCCCATGATTAAGTATAGGGCGACGCCCGGGTCGCTGGCGGTCGACGTGGCGAACCACGCGGCGATCATCCTGCTGATGATCTCCATGGTGTACCCGTTCGTGTTCGTCATCTCGGTGTCGGTCAGCGATTTCGAGGCGATCACCTTCAACCAGGTGAAGCTGCTGCCGGTCGGCCCGCTGCAGACCAAGGCGTACAACGTCCTGCTGGGCACCGGCATCCTGAACAGCTACCTGAACAGCATCTACTACGCGCTCGGCACGGTGACCATCACCTGGTGGTCACCAGCCTGGCAGCCTACGTGCTGGAGCAGCGCACGCTCCCGTTCCGCAAGCGCTGATCCTGTTCGTCGTGCTGACCATGTTCCTGCCCGGGTTCTTCATTCCCACGTACCTGCTGGTCAACGAGCTCGGGCTGGTGGACACCCGGCTGATCGTCATGCTGCTGCCCAGCTTCGGCGCCTGGTACATCCTGGTGATGCGCGCCAACATCCGCACCGTCGTCACGCGCGAGCTGCAGGAGGCGGCGCTGATCGACAGTGCCAACCACCTGCAGATCTTCGTCTGGCTGGTGCTGCCCCTGATCAAGCCCATCCTGGCCACGATCGGCCTGTTCACGGTCGTGGCAAGCTGGAACAACTTCTTTCTGCCGCTGATCTACCTGCACGACCGCGACAAGCACCCTCTGACCCTCATCCTGCAGCGCATCCTGCTGGAAGGCGAGATCGGCAAGTACAGCGGTGGGGGCATGGCCCAGCTCTGGGAGGACCAGGGCGTGCCGGGGTACGTCGGCATCGGCTTCTTCAAGTCGTTCAAGTTCGCGGCGGTCGTGATCACGGTCTGGCCGATCATCGTCGCCTACCCGTTCGTGCAGAGGTTTTTCGTGAAGGGGATCCTGGTCGGATCGGTCAAGGACTGACCTGGCCGGATTGGCCCGACTGGGATGGCCCGACCGGATTGGCCGGATTGTTGACACCGTTACCGATAACGCCGAGGCTCAGCGTACAAGCCCTGCGCAGCAGCGCAGAAGGAGGCTCGCAATGAAAAGAAGCACGCTGATCGCCGTAGTGGCGATCCTGGCCCTCGCCGTGACGCCGGTCTTCGGATCCGGTGAAGAGGAAGCAGCCGCGACCGGTCCGCCGACCATGCAGATCTACGCGAACTACTGGGACCGCAATCCCAACTGGTCGCCGGAGACCCTCGTCCTTGCGAAGTTCGCGGAGATCGCCGGCGCCGACATCGAGCTGGTGACCGGTGATGCGCAGAAGCTCAAGACCCTGGTGGCGAGCGGCGACCTGCCCGACACGATGTGGGGCGGTTTCACTCGCCTGGAGGCCATGGACTTCGGCACCAAGGGCGCGCTGTACCCGATCGACACCCTCTCCGACATGATGCCCAACCTGGCTACATGGCGGGAGAAGTACCCGGAGTACGACGCCGCCATGACAGCACCCGACGGGCACCAGTACTCGACCACGTCGGTGTACAACTACACGCAGCTCCGCCGCGCGCCGTCGATCTCGCCGAGCGTGCACGACCTGGGCGTCGACCCGCGGGCGGACATCCAGACCATGGACGACCTGCTCGACGTGCTGGGCCAGTTCAAGGCCCGGTGGCCGGAGAACCATCCGTGGGTCACCCGCCGCGGGATCCGGGACGGGTACCACGTGATGTTCGGCACCAACCACTCCGTCTACCTCAATCCGGAGACCGACCGGTGGACCTACGGCGAGCTGGAGGAGAACTACCGCGGCATGATCGAGATCCTGCGGCAAGCCTGGGCCGACGGGCTCATGCACCCCGACTTCATGTCCATGGGCGAGGATCCGTGGCGTGAGATCATGTCGCAGGGCAAGGCCTACTTCACGACCGGTGCGTACAGCCAGATCTCCTGGCAGGGCACCGACCGCGCGGACCCCAACACTTGGTGGATTCCGATCCTGGCGCCCGAGTTCAACGGCACGCGCTACTGGTCGACGATTCAGAATCCGCGCGTGCTGGACTCGAGCAAGTGGACGCTGGGCGCCAAGACCCAAGTCGCGGAGAATGCTGCCCGTCTGATCGACTGGCTGTACAGCGACGAGGGCGTCTACTACATCTACTTTGGCGAGGTCGGTATGACCAGCGAGCTCGACGACCTCGGATTCGGCTACTACGCGCACTTCCCGGAGGGCCAGGCAGACGGAGTGGATGTGGGAGCAGGGCTTCCACTTCTTCCGCTACAACGTCGCCCACTCCCTGTGGGAGCTCAACCCGAGCAAGGCCGGCAGCGCGGCGGAGAAGATATTCACCGACGAAGTGGCCGAGTTGTACATCAGCAACGACTCCGTGCGCCCGCCGGAGCCCGTGCTCACCTTCACCGTGGACGAGCTCGACCAGATCAAGCAGATCAGGGCCGACGCCGACGCGGCCGCCCTGGAGGGCGCCGCCACCTGCATCCGCGGCAGCAAGGCGATGAGCGAGTGGGGGGACTTCGTGGCGCAGTTGGAGCGCGTCGGCGCCAAGCAGCTCGAGGACATCTACAACGCTGCCTACGCGCGGCTGAAGTAGATCCTGTCGCTCGCGCGATAGACGCTTTGGTTTCTTGGGCCGTCGGCCGGCTATGCCGGTCCGGCGGCCTTTTTCATTGACGGCCCTCTTTCTCGGCAGAGGCATGGTGTGAGCAGCGCGCCTCCGGAGCGTACGCCGCACTCCCCTGACCCGACACCACGAAGGGCGGCGTCCTGGCTTCGTTCGCCGGCGGTCCGCTGGATGGTGGTGATCGACATCCTTTTTTGTCCTGTGGGGACTACACGTGGCAGGAAAGCGAGCGGACGGGTGTGGACGCTCGTGACGACGCGGCGCTAGGCCGTACGAGCGAGCGACGGGAGTCTCTCATCTGCGCTGCTCGTACGCGCTGCAGTGTGCCTTGTCTGCTGGCAGGTGGCGGTGTTTCTCCGAGCGAGGCGCGGCGCACTGGCTCTGGGGATTGCGAACGCAACATCCGGCTTCCCCACTACCTCCAGGCCGGCGTGCAGGCGTGCCATTACCTGTATCTGGGGCTCTACTACCCGGCGGTCCAGGAGCATCTGCCGCTCATCGCGATCCAGATCGTCGTCTTCTACGCGCTGGAGATGCTCCTGCAGTGGTCACGCGCAGGAACCGCGGCGCCGGCTTCGGCCCTGCCGGGTGGTTGAGGGAGTAATCACCTCTTCCTGTGGTCTCGAGACCCTGAGCTACTTCGTCGGCCAGCTCCTGCTGGTGGCGGGCGCCCTCGCCTCCAGGGAGTTCGTGCGCTGGGCGCCGCAACGGCCGCTCTTCGCACATCTTTCAACCCGTCGGCGATCGCCCTGGCCGCGGCCGGCGTGTTCCTGATGGCCACGGACACGACCACGGCGACCACGGGCATCAATCACATCCTGGCCTTCGAGCTGCCGCCGAGCTTCTTCGAGCTCATGTTCGTGTGCGGGATCCTCCTGCAGATCTTTTTCGCCACCACGCTGGTCACTTTCGGCGCGGTCCTGGCGCTCGCGCTCATCCATTACGGAGGCACCCTGCTGCTGGGCGCGTGGCCGCTGTTCAACGTGTTCCACATCAGCGTGTTCCTGGGCCTCTGGCTGACATCTGCTTGCACCGACACGGCGGCGGCGACCTCGCCCAAGTCGACCGCAGGGGCAGTTCCTGTTCGGCGGGCGTGCGACGTGGGGAGTAGCCATCTGGTGCTGCTACGTCGGGCTGCGCTCCCTGGATCTCCGCCCTACTACGACAAGATCCTCACGGTACCACGTGGTGAACCGGCTCGTGCATCTGTCTCTCGAGAGAGAGCCGGCGGGCGACTGGCTTGGCGTCTCTCGGTTCGACCGGGCGGTCTACATCGCCGTGTACGCCGGGTTGTTCCTGCTCATCCTGCCGACGCTGAAGCTGCAGTACCGCGCGGCCGACTACTACCTCAAGGACCGCCTGCCCGCCATCGCTTCCCCCGAGGTCTGGAAGTCCATCCCCCTGGTGAAGGAGAAACGGCTGTTCTGCGAGCGTCACCGGCGCGCGTGCGAACCCTGGGGAATAGCCGAGGAGATCCGCCACCACGCGCAGCTCGCCGGCGAGTTGCGCTGCGGTTCTCGCGGTCGTCGAGTGCCGTCACCGCTCAGGAAGGCCGCCGGAAGCGCCGGCCCGTGATCGGCGACGGCAGGTGCGCCCCTGCAGCGCCCTGTTGCACGCGGCACGCCTCGGTTGCTATCCTCCGCGCGGCTACATTCCAGTGGCCGATCAACCCCCTCAGGAGCAATACATGAAGAGAATTGTTTCGTACGTCGTGCTCGCGGCGGTGGCGCTTGCGCTGCCATGGGCCGCGGTCAGCCAGCAGTACTCGGAGTCGCCGATACTTGCGGCGATGGTAGCGTCAGGAGACCTGCCCCCGGTGGAGGAACGGCTGCCGCCCAATCCCTACGTCAACGTCGACGCACCCGAGGTGGGCACCTATACCACCACGGTGATGACCCTGCCGCACGAGTCCGACCACCTAGACCCTCCGGGAACTACTGGGTCACCGGTCAGACCGCCCGCCACGTATGCCCCTGGCGAGGAGCAGCTCGTGCAGTGGAAGGTGGACGAGACGATCGGCAATCCCGTCGGCATCCACAAGGACATCAGCCTCGAGCCCAACCTGGCCGAGAGCTGGGAGATCTCCGACGACGGCAAGGAAGTGACGTTCCACCTGCGCAAGGGCGTGAAGTGGTCCGACGGCGTGGAATTCACGGTCGACGACATCATGTTCACCTGGGACGACGTGGTGCGCGGCGGAGTGATCGCCAGCACCCAGATCCCGAGCATCGAGGGTTTCTACTCGCAGAGGGCGGCCATTTGTCGGGCGGCTCGGCGCGGCTTCCGAGTTCGAGAAGATCGACACCGTACACCTTCAAGGTGACGATGCAGAACTCGTACCCGGAGATCGTCCCGATGTTCTTCTCGCCGGCCATCTGGCCGTCGATCTCCATCCCCTGGCTGCCCAAGCACCAGATGGAGAAACTGCATCCCACGTACAACTCGGATGCCACCATGGAGGACTGGAACTCGGCCCGCTTTCCGCGTGATCGCCCGCCGGTGCTCAGTGCGTTTCAGCCCACCGGAGTGGTCGGCGACAAGCTGATCTTCGAGCGCAACCCCTACTACTGGAAGGTGGACAGCGACGGACAGCAGTTGCCGTACTTCGACACCGTGGTGATGAAGTACCAGACCACCGGTTCCGACATCGCGCTGTGGCCTTGGCCTCCAACGAGCTGTGGGGCGACTTCACCAAGGCCAGCACCCAGGAGGCAGGCGTCATCCGCCAGAACGAGGAACGCGGCAACTACTCGCTGCTGCCCTTGGACAAGGTGGGCATCTACCAGGGCATACGCCTCAATCTGGACACCCCGGACGACAGTCTGCGGGCGCTGTTTCAGAATCCCGACTTGTCATGGTCGTTTGAGCACGGCTGGATACGACCGCTGGGTGCCCCACCTGCATGTTGTCCGGCCTGGAAGCCGCTGCATTCGCCGGCCATGCTCAAAGCCTATCCGCAGTACGCGGACAGCCACGTGGAGACCTTCGACCGCGACGCCGCGCTGGCGGCGTTCGACGAGCTGGGCCTGAACGACTCAGCGACGGCGACGGCTACCGCGAGTTTCCGGCCGGGTCGCCCAAGGCGGGCAAGACTATCGGCTGGATGATCGTCGCCCGGCCCACGACTGGATGCGCGTCCGCTGGATCGAAGGCGCCGGCGAGCAGTTCAACCAGATGGGCTTCAAGGTGGCGGTCAACCCGATGAACGAAGTGGTGATGAACGAAACCCTGACCGTGCCCGGGTTGTACGAGATGCGCGGCAACAGTTCGTTCCTGTGGGGCGGCTGGAGCGACCAGGCGGGCTTCGAGTCCACGCTGCGCAACGGCGGCGGGCTGTTCCCGGAGAACGACGGCGACCCCAACCCGATGCTGCCACGCACCGGGTCGACGGAGCTGTTCGACTGGCAGATCGATGGCATGAAGATCCGTGACGCCTACGTCGCCGGCGACCTGGATCTGGAGACGGCGATGGATCAGTTCGTCGCCTGGGGCGCGGCAAACGCGCCGCGGCAGGCGTTCGCCCGCGGCGGCGTGACCGAGACCGTGGTCGGCGACAACGCGCTCGGCAACGTTCCGTACTTCTACGTGCCGGAGCTCAAGAGCGGCGGCATCATGCGGCAGAGCTGGGATCAATACATAGCGATGCGCATGTGGCAGTGGTTCGAAAAATAGACCGCTGCTAAGGCGTCTATCGGCGGTGGGGGCGGCTCGCCCCCACCGCTTCTAAAACACCATGGCGCGCTACATCGTCCGGCGTTGTTCAAATTGCGACGGTTTGACCTGGTGCTGTCGTTCGTCTGTTTTCTGGTGATCGATCTGGCGCCGGGCGACTTCGTCAGCGTCTACGAGTCGAGCATCCGCTCCAACCTGGACCTGACGGAGCAGGAAGAAGACG